TGAGAGTCTGATAAAAACATCACAATAATCCACACCACTCCAGTCCATCAGTTAACATCTTGTGAAGCCAAAAGCTGCGTGTTTGTAAGAAACAAATCCATCATTAAGACGTTTTACTTTCAAACGGTCACTTTTGGCCAAAATATGAGTCCATAATCCATAATAATGCTTCCTGCAGTGAAAAAGTCCATCTGTTGTTTTCTCTCACATCAAAATCCAGCCACATATTTGTTTAGAGCTGTTTTGGCTTGTAAACGGTGCTTGATCTGTGCAGATTTCTCTCCTGATTCAGACCAGGGCTGCGTTTCCCAAAAGCATCGTAAGCCTAAGTACATCGTAGACTCATTGAAACCAATGGAGCTACGAACAATTTAGGCTTACGATGCTGTTTGGAAATGCAGCCCAGACCACTTTTTCACTGCAGGAAGCATTATTATGGATTATGGACTAGGATTTTAGTTAAAAACATCTTCATGATCTATTTGTTTCAGCTTTTGTCTTCTCCAGATGTTAACTGATGGACTGGAGTGGTGTGGATTATTGTGATGTTTTTATCAGACTCTCATTCTGACGGCACCCATTCACTGCAGAGCATCCATTGCTGAGACATTGATGCAATGCTACATTTCTCCAAATCTGATGAAGAAACAAACTCAACTACATCTAGGATGGCCTGAGGGTGAGCACATTTTACGCAAATGTTTCTTTTTTGGGTGAACTATTCATTATTTGGAGGATTTTGTCAAAATTCTACCAAGTAACAGATGAATTTGCACCAAAATACATGTCAGTAACAGAAGAGATGGGAAAGCGCTGCTATCCTCACTGTTCATGATTATATGCTTATAACTATTTGCATTTATCGTGCAACAGACTTAAACACACTGTGTTTGAGTGCACAGAGCTGACAGAAATCGATGAACAACTCAAATGTTCTCCTCTGAGCTGAATTTACATGCAGAGCCCTCTGAGTTCTCGTGACTACAGACTGAAGCCAGATTGGCCCTGTTGCCGGTATTGATTATTGTGGAATTTTTGCATGATCGGGGAGGAATCTTTGTGAAGTTTCACAATCGGTTTCCACACGGCTCTTTGTTTCCACAGCTGCAGCCCGTTGCTTTGGATCACATCTGCTCTTCCCTGTGGCTCTGCTCATGCTTCATACCGTACTGTTCTTACGGTTTGGCTATTAATGCTACAGTATAACCTGCTCTGAACACTGTAGCTCACATGCTTCTGAACAACTGAGGAAAAAGATCAGTTCCATGCTTTAAGAACCTATACTAGAACTATAATGTAAGGAAATGTTCTTATTTATTTATATTTATATATATATTTATATTTTATAAGTTAAAATATTTAGCCTTTTTTTTTATTTTTATCGAATGTCAGTGGAGAAGGATGTATTTGGCCCTATTATAGTGAAACAATGGAAAAGAAAGAGTCAATGTCATACTTTTAATAGCCTTAAATATTGTATTCCAGTAAAACCTCTACTATAATGTGATAAAATATTCTTACATATTTATTTATATTTTTATATAATAATATATTTGTTTTATGTATATTTATGTTTTATTAAGGCAAAACATATCTTTTTTTCCCATTGAATGTCAATAGAGAAGGATGCATTTGGCTTTATAATATTGCAGTTATGACATCTAACAGAAGGTTTTAACTGTTAAAACAACTAACCAGCCTAACCCTCACTACCTGGTTTGGGAAAGTCCTCTGGCCAATTTTGGGATCTAAAACACTTAGATTTTTGCGCTGTTCTATTAAATTTTAAACCATATTTCTGTTTGTTTATTTGTTCAGTCACTCATAGTGTGAAACATCTGGGGAAAAAAAGTAAAGTTCATCCTCTTAAGAGCCTATAAAATTAGACTGGTAAAACATCTATTATAATAAAATGAAATATTCTTATATATATATTTATTTAGATTTCTATATAATATTTATTTTATATTTTATTTTTGTATCTTATTAATCAAAGATATATAGTTTTTAAAAATATGTCAATGGAGAATGATACTTTTGACCTGAAAATGGCCAATTTTGTGATCTGCCACTAAAATGCTTTGGCACAGCAATATGATACATTTTAAGGATTTTTTTTTTTGCCCCGTTTTCTGCTATTAACTTTTTTAATCATATTTTATTTTTCAGTCACTCAAAGTGTGAAACAACTGAAAAAACCCTCAATTTTATACATTTAAGGGCCTATGAAAGATACTATAACTGCTATAATACAATGAAATATTCTTATATATATTTTATATAATAATTTATTTATTTTTATATGGATTTTTATTTTATTAAGTCAACATATATAGCTTTTTTGAATGAATGCCACTATGTTCCAATAATGGCCACGGATATATTGTCATGATTTTTTTTGGTGCTGTTTTCCATAGCTTTTCAATCACTATTTCTGAGTCACACCCGAATGTTTTTTTCCCTTGCACTCCCGCTATAAAGTTTACAGTTTATTATAAATAGTATAATACAGTTCATTACACTGTTATACAGTTTGTCAAATTCAGGCCATATGATGTTCAGATCATGCTGAACAAAAATGACCAGATGATTTTTGCTCAGTGATGCAACAAAGAAATCTAGCCGTGAATATGCAGTGTCACCTTTGCATATTGCATCACTTTAGAACTAAAAAGCTACAACTTTAGCTACAGTACAACTTCAGAATCTGCAAAACCACCAGGAGGCGCTGCATTCAAACAGGAAGTGATGCTGTTTGAATCACAGATCAGTTTCCTGACCCACCTGAACAGCATCAGTAGTTTAAAACACATTTCCGGATGAATGTTTCATAACGAGGTAATTGCTTCATAAGTGATCTGTGCAGTTAGTCTGTTAAATATGTGTGTGAAGATGATTAAAACCTCCAGATTCCTGTTTGACAGATGCAGGGTTGGCCTGGAAAGCGCAGTGCATCAATCCACACGACTGGACTCGACGACTGACCGTCTGTCAGATGTGAACGTGAGGCTCTGGTTGCTCTCTATTGCTCTTCGGTCCTCATGTTTGTACTGAGTGTGTGTGTGATCTGTGGGTTTCGGCGCAGGTGTGTGAAATAATGGACTCCAGTGACACATCAGACCTCTTAAAGAGACGCTTCTGCAGGGTTTCATAAGGCCCATGTGCGTCTTCCACCAATGCAACCATATTAAACCCTTGTTATGAAAGCATAATGATGCATTTAACGCATAGATGACGAGATGAATGGTGACCCAATGTGAGCTACAGATTCTGATCACCGATTTAGTTTTTGTGTTTCAGTCAACCTGTGTGCATCATAAACTGCAGTTTTAGTTGATATGTATTTATCTGCAATGTGACTTTGCACATTCATTGGGGGAAAAAAAACCCTCCATTCGTCTCCACTTATGCAAAACAATCTGTTGCAGCACTACAGGTGTTTGGGAAAGTGCTGCAGTGCTTTGTGTTGGCATGAAGCGTTTGAGGAGAAAAGAGCAGCCGAGGCCTCCTTGTTCCCTAACAGCTAAAATCATGTTAGAAGAGCATTTTTACCTGCATATTACTAGTTATGTGCATATGCATGAGGGCTGAATCTTAACATTTAGCCTAAGGGTCAAATGAATTAATGTAGTTTTCATTTTTTAATGCATTTTGTTTCTTTTTCAGAATTGTATTAATTTTAATTTATGACTTTTTTTTTTAAAGGCCAAATATGATTAAAAACGTTTTTTTCCCTATTCAGTAATAATAATAATAATAATATTTTTTACTCTCCTTTTTCTTTTTTTTTCTGCTTTATTAAATTATTTATTTTCTATGTATGTATTTTTTTATGTAAACACCCGGAAAGGTCAAAAGTGTTTTTTTCTCTATTCAGTTCAGTTTTTATTTTTTCCCCTTAATTTATTTGTTTCTTTAATTCTTTCTTTATTTTCATTTAAACTTCACGATTAAAATTTTTTTTCTCTATTAATATATATATATATTTTTCTCATTTTATTTTCCTTTCCCCTTAATTTCTTTTTTCTTACTTTTTAATTTTTTTTAATGTAAAGATCAAAAGTTTTTTCTCTATTCAAAGAAAACATTTTTCCCCTTTTAACCCCC